TGGGCGTATCCCCGCCGAGCTACCAGTCCACAATACGAAAGTTATTCGGTTGCAATCGCAGAGGTGGACCAGTCGAGGGCGTTTCTCGTTCGCTGTAGCATAGGGGGTACGCGCGGTAATACGCCTATTGGACCCGCACGCGAACCGACTTCTTGGGGGGCTGAAGTCGCAAGCGTGGCTCGACGTAAGTCGACTAGGACGCATCCCACACACCACGCGCACACCACTTTACGAGACAAAAATAAAACACACACACGCGCGTACAACACGACACAACACAAACAACGCGACAACACTCCTAGTCCCTCGGTAGCCAACCCATAACTTCCCGACGCGGAAATCAGATAGGTGTCGTGTGCGAGACTTAGTATAAAAATCGCGCGGACGCAGGGCTAACTCATATTGACTCGCGATGCAAGCGCACGCAAGCGGTCACAACGATGGCGTACCATGTGGTACCCATACTCGTGCGGTCCTCGTTAGTCTCGAGGGTCACGTTCGACACTCAAGTGTCGGCTGACACGCGCCTTGAGGGTTAATATCTCGACCCTGGACAACCGCTATGCGCGGTTGAAGACCACACACCCTCTTCGGCACCCTTATACAGAGTGGGTGGTACACACGCCCATGCCTGTGGTGGTAGTCGTCTCTCGCGGCCCTAGGGGTGGGTCCTCCCCGGGGCCTGGGCGAAAGTCAATGGGTTTGAATTTGACAGCTCTCACGGACTACAACGTCCAACCATAAAAATCCCTAAGAAGCAACTAGACGCGCACGAACCCAAGAAGAGGGGATAGGGCAAGGGTCTCCTGGCCTCTAAAACAAAATTCATGGCCTTGGGACACGCTTCCCCTCTGTGGGCAGTGCCGGCGACCTACAATAATCCCAAGCGCTGAGCCTACGCGCAAGCCCGACAGTCCCATAACTTTTAAACGTCGGGGCGGCGAGGCGTCGCGCGCAGGCCTTGATATAAAATTGTGCGGCCGCAGGCCAACCTTATGCCAACCACTGATGCCAATCGTATGTGGTAACCGCGACTTCGGCCTCGCGATATTAAATGGCTGAAGAAACTCATCGCGAGGGGTTACCCCTCACGATATTGAACGGCTGAACCACACGCCGTTCGGCCCTCACGACGTCCCCGCCTTTCAGGTGGAGTGTCCCGCCGGCCAAAGTAAATAGGCTTTAGGCAAGGGGAGAATCCTCCTCTTCAGGGCCTAGGGCTTGGGATGTCCTGGACAAGGACCTCGAATCCCGGCCCAGGACCAACGTCCGACTAAGAAAGCCCCAAGACGCAAAATAGGCCAAAGGGGGGGGTCTTCCCTGTCCCTCAATCCCAACTCTCACGCGGTTGTTAACCTGGCCTTCTAGGCCACCCGAACACTCATCATACGTATATCCACGCACACATACTGAAGGGGGGATAGAGTAAGGACGATCACTTCTCACACGCACAGTAGGATTCCTCACAACCATGTATATATATATGAGATTGCAGGCAGCCCAAATCCAAATCTGAGTCACAGGACATACTTGCAACCACACCAAGAATCAAGCAACAAAACGCGCACTACACGGAGTCAACCCCAACCATTCTCTATGCTCATACCCCTTCGCTTTAGCCATGGAAGCCCCGACTGCCAGTCCTACCAACCTCAATTAAATACTCAGTACCTTTGTTAAATGGTCATTCAATAAAAGTCCGGGTGAAACCCTTAACAAACGGTAAAAATCACCAGGGCTAAAGCCTTTTAGGTTGAGTATGAGGAATGAGTTGAAATTGAGTCGAAGACCGACGAATCGGCAACCGACCTGTTATCAGTGATAACAGAAGACGATCCTCAAGGGATCAAGCTGAATCTCGTCCTGAACTTTGAATCAGACACCCCAAAGGACCTGTAACACAAGATAGGTCAAACGCCCAAGCTAAATCATCAGCACATGGGGGATGAACCTCCATAGCACATTCTCTCCCCAAGTTATCTTCCAACTAAGTCTAAGTCTACCTCTAAACCAGTACCCAAAGCAAAGGTAGACTAATGGCAGAATCTTCCCTACCCAGGGTGGATCGTCAGAATCGTCACCTGTCAAAATATAATCTAACTTCGCTACATCAAGGACATTTCGGCAGCGCTTCCCGCAGGAAAAGTACCTTTTCAAATTTTATATCAACCGAAATATGAAAGCAGAAATAAGCTCCAACTCTGGAAAATCAAATTCTGTCTAACTCCCTGAATCAGTAGAAATCTGGACAGCACTCCCTTTAGAAAGGGAGACTTCCCAGATTTATACTAGGTCAGATATGAATTCACAAGGCAACTTGAGTTCAACTTAGACAAGATTTAACTAATTCCTTAGTTTTGCAGAAATTTTGGCAGCACTCCCTTTAGAAGAGTGTTATTCCAAAATTTATACAAGGCTAAGTTCAGAATCTGAAGATAACTCTGACTTCTCAAAGTCCAATTTTGTCGAACTCCCTGAATTAGCAAAAATTTGGGCAGCATTCCCTTTAGAAAAGGAGACTTTTCAAATTTTTACTAAGTCAGATATAAAGAATAGATAAGTTGAACTTTGACAAGTCAAAAGTTGACTAACTCCTTGGATTTGTAGAAATTTCGGCAGCGCTTCCCGTAGAGAAAGTAGCTTGCCAAAATTTATACAAAGCCAAGTAAAACAAAAGATCTCAGAAAATGCAAGAATTGATCGAAGTAAAATAAAGCCAGCTCGGAAAATGCAGCAATTGACCGAACTCCTATCGCTCTAGCACGTGGCGAGCCTCTAAAGCAACTACATGTCAACCTGAAACCCAGACCAAGTAGTAACCTCACTCAGCCACAGGCAGGCCAGACCACAAAGGTAAGTACTCTCACCATCCCCAAGCCAATCTGAGCAAACAATAATTCATGACCTTTCAGTGGGTTATCCCCTCATACCCAACTTACATAAGGCAGAGGTCAGGGCACCTTAACTTACAGAGCGCACCCACCTTAGCCAGGCTTAAAGTCAGAATACCTAAACTTATAGAGCGTTCTAACTCGGCGAGGTATACACAAATAGAGGGCACAACTACTTCTCTCTTCTTTGGGCGTATGGGTAGGCCGCTCTAACCGCCCTGACTGTTTAAATAGTCAATTTGTATATACCTCTCTGAGCTTAGTCTTCAAAGGGACATAAGGTTGAGCCGCTCAACTTAGAACATTGCTCAGCCCACCCAAGTTTACCTTCGATTATATCTCTTAGTTATAATCTTTTCTGTTGTGATACGCTATAGTCAGGCTACCTAAACTTATAGAGCGGCCTGACCAGTCTGTTCGTAATAGCATAGTAATACAAAATAGCCAATTTATATCCATTAGGTTGCAACATGTGCGAGGCATTGAGTCAGACTACCTAAACTTATAGAGCGGTCTGATCCTCAGCCATGTTCGTTTCTCTCTGACCCAATCTGTGCGAGGCAGTGGGATAGGCTACCTAAACTCATAGAGCGGCCTGTCCCTTGTCATAATTACTCCCTTAGAACAAAACAAGAGAAGGGCTGAACCACCTAAACTTATAGAGCGGTTCATAGCTCCTTGTTCAGAACGAAAAAAACTTAGAGAGCCCCAAAAAAAACAAGGCAACCCAAGGTACCTAAACTCATAGAGCGCATTGGGTTCCTGAAAGCCACCCACAATCAAACCCTCACAAGTCAGAGCAGCCAGGACACCTAAACTTATACAGCGTCTTGACCCTCCAAACAATTCACAGCACCAGGTCTCCCCAAACTTATGGGGACATCCAACTTCCAGAGCTTCAGGCTACCTAAACTTATAAAGCGGCGTGAGGCTCCTTGCAAACCAAAAATAAACAAAGCGTTGGGCTTCCCCAAACTTAAGGGGACCTCCCTGCCTTAATGACCCAGTCAGACTACACACAAACTGCCTTCCTCCCAGCCTTCCCCCAGATGCAACCCACTTCGTTCACAATCTGCTTTCAGGCAATCAGCAAAAACTGAGACTGAGATTGCACACACGCTTCTTTACTTCAGTCTAACTTAAGTCCTGACAGTCAAACCAAAACCAAAGTACAGGATCCAGACAATACCCTCAGTCAAACGTAGAGAGATGTACAAGTAGGGGATGTAGCTGGGTTTATAGAGGGAGTCAAGGGATTACCACTCAGTTCCCTGCCTCCAGGACTCCGCCTGAGTCCCGACAGAGCTCCCGCAATCGGTGGGGCAACCTCCCACAAGGCCTTGGCACGGTTTATGGGCCACACACCCGCCTGCCGCCTTCCTCTCAGTGTCAAAGGACCAGACTTAGAGTAAGAAGGGTAGGATGTGAAGGAGTAAGACTCTCAGACTCAGGAAGAAAACACTCAGACTCGCTTGAGAGGGCCTTCAACTCCTCGTACGCCTGAGGGGCCCGCAATGGCGGCCAAGTGACAGCTTGGTTAACAGGGTCAAACTGCCAAGGTGACTTTGCGGCGACCTTCAGCTCACAACACCACCCTCTATTCGTCCAATCCTGACCACCTCCCCGAGCCTTACCTCTTCTTTCTAGCCCAGCAGTGGATATGCAACAATCTGAGCCGACCAACAATGGCAAGCACTACCGCCGTTGCCAATAACTGCAGCAGCACCCAGCCTTACGTGGTGCAGTCAAGCATGGCTCGTCGTGACACTTGCTGGGTATAGCACCAGCCTCAGCAGTCAGGGGTTGGATCACAGATGGTCATATTGTCGACACTCAGCATCCTGGCACGGCTCAGGCACCCAGCCTGCCCATACGCACACCACGCAGGCCAGGAATGCGCTTGCACTACTGCAGTTGGCCCCGGTCTACAGAGTCTGTTAGGAGGAACGTCCCACCAGTCAACAGGCGGATCTTCTAACTGTGCGGCCGGCCCCACACCCTCACCACTAGGCCCGCTCGTTGGGATGCACAGCACTTCACCCCGCCAGTAAGCCTCCCTCTCCGCTCTTTACGCGCAGGGCTAGTCAAAACTTTGGATGAATCTTCCGCTAACTTCAAACCGATTCATTCGTATCTTCACACCATTTCTCCCCCTTCGCCCGTCTCTGCGGAACTCATCCCGCCTCTACCTTCTCACCTACTATCCCGTATCCAACGCGCTCCTTCCTGTTCTTCACCTGTGATACTCATTCTGTCGACCAAAACTCCCCCCCCGCCAGTATTCACCCTCCGCGGCGTCCGCCCCTACCCCTCCTTAGCATGCGCCAGCTCGTCCTGCCATCGTTTCCTTTACTAAACGCATCCGGCACGGCGACCCGGCCAGATTCACCTCCTCCTCCTCCTACCCCTACGTTCATCACTCCGCCGCACTGGCCAGCTCGACCGCTCGGTGCCGCTCGGCTCCCTCCGCTCGGCTTGTCACTCCCACTGTCCGCTGCGTCCACAGCCCCGTCATCTCCCTTCCGACCACCACCCCCGCACGCACCTAGCCAGGCCCGCGTCTGCGTTCTCTCCCTGCGCAGTGATGGCCGTCGCTCCGCCTGTCACCCTCCCGCTGGCCCGCTGCCTCGCTTACCTCTGCCCGCTCCGTTACTACCACCCGTCGGTTTGCCCAGAAGCGCGCCACGAAAAAGTGAGCAAGCAAAAAAAACAAAAGTCGCGGGCGCTCGGGTCTTCGTCCGATTTATGCATGTCATCCTTGCGCAGGGGCCAGACTGATCTTTTCTGTATCGGCCCTTCCTCGATGCGGTTCTTCGTGGTCACGCCCATCCCCCTTTCCGTCTGTACCCCGCGCGATTCGCGTCCAGGTCCACTCCTGATTTCTTTAGATGCCCCAACGGTTTTGCACGAGGGGACCCCCCCCCCCCCCCCGGTTGTCTGCCCGTACCCGGCGCGGCGTGCATCCGGGTTCCTTCCAGACTGTATATAGTGGCCGACGAGTCTCCCCACTCGGCTTCGTCAGCAAGTTGGCCGGCCGCGACAAAAAAAAACAAAAACAACAAAGAAAAAAAAAGGAAGGAAACACAAAAGGTAACTCTAGAAAGGAAAAAAAATCCTCCCCTCCCCCTCTTTCTTTTGCTTTTTGCACGCTCCTAACCCAGTTACCATCCAGGTTCGCCCCGAATAACATCCCTGCATGGACGCTACACGAATCTTTCTTGGATTGCGGATCTCCCCGCTCTTTGAAAAGGTTCCGCCGCCCCGTATACATCGAGCGTGGCCCAAGCCTCGATTCCCGTCCGGGTTCACTCCCGGATCTCTACAGATTGCCTCCGCACGACGGCCTATGCGAACCCCCTCCCTGTATCCCCTCCAAGTGTCACGGATTCAAAAAATCTTGGCCGGGGTAATTCCCCGTGTTGGCCCAGAGATCCTACACTCCTCCTCATGTATGTACCCGGCCTATCTCACATCCGGGTTCTTTCCCCGATTGTGGGCGTCGCCCCCCCCCCCCGTCACGGTCTACTCATATCACCCTCGTGCAGGGGCCATGCGACTCTCTACTACCCCACTCCCAGAGGGTCTGCACGCCACCGCCCCCTTGAGCACTTCGGAGTGGTCGCGCGACCCTTCCTAGGTCCGACACAGGCCCCCGCCTCAGCAGTTCACAGGCGTGCCTGTTATACCAGCGCCCTATGGTCATAGCCAGCCCCAGGCCGGGTGTCCGGCTCCAGCTGTCCTATCCAGCTAAGAAAGCCAGCTGGCACTAAGACAACAAAAGGCAAAAAGGAAGGAAAATAGGGAGGCTGGCCAACGCCGGGCGCGACCGACTGGCGCCCCTTCTTGTCCTTGCAGCGTGGGCCCGTGAGCGGAATCCCCTAACAAAACTAAAGGGGATAGTCCCGCGGGACCCTCAACCCCTCAGCCCTTCGCTGCTCCTTTGCTCCGCGCTGCCGCCTGCCGACCTCGATCCCCGAATCTCCTCCACGCAAGTCCAGCACCGTAACCTGTAGGGCTATGCCCAAGCTTGCGACTTGCAGGCGTGGCTTCCCATATAAGGCGGTGTCGCGCGGCGTTCCTGCCAGGATATCGCCCGGTTACCCCTTTTCGGCCCACATTTGTACCCACGGCTCCTAAGTATCCGCGCCGGTCTACCACCCTGCGCCGTGACCGGCCCATGCGCCTACCGGCGCACCAGCCCTACCATCGGTCGCGCGCGCCTGGCCAAATGACAAGCTTTCATGCCCTAACCAAACTCGAGACACGGTCCGGGTCGGTCGGCCACACTGGCCGCTCAATGAATTAGAAAAATCACACGCGCGCCTTAAATTGCGCGCCCACGTACTCCCTATTGGAACAAGGCAGACCCTTGCCCGCGTGCGGACGGCCCTCGCATTTTCCCGTGCAGGCACTCAAAATCCAGGTGAACCGAGCCTTTCTGCCACTTGCAAAAACCAGGGCAGGTACCCTTGTAAGGGTATTCGCGCCGACAGCTTACCGGACCACATTAAGCGACGTCCCCGTCGCGTCGCCAGATCAAAAAGCTATAGACTCCCTCACATTCCAAATGTTGACGAGATCAGAACCAATCCGATTAGCCAATAGACTCAGGGTCGAGGCCTCCATCAAACCGTGCCAACACAACTATATGCTGCCAGGGTTTCAACCTGGGTCTCCATTGTCCTGACACCAGGACGCCGGTGTATTACGCGTCAATACTACAGCATAAGTTCCAAAGGCCCTCAAACCATCCTCTTCCCCTTCATCCTAGACAACCGCCGGCTTCTCGTTGGGTGTCCCAGTTAGCCTCTTTCTCGTAAGCAGAGCCATAACTAGGGACGCGGGCTTCGAGTGGGACCTATGAAGGTATTATTTGCCTTCTTCAACAAATTCCTCATAGTCAAACAAAATACGCACGTATAAACTTGTAGCCTCTCTCGGGCTTCTCTGCAGTCTATTACAGAAATGCCAGGTCCCCATCTGGGTCCACCGTAGTCTGGCTGATCGGGCCAGGTCTACGGCCCACCGCACTGTTACCTTAGCGGCGGTATCCTCTCGCTGGTTATACAACGACAGGTATGTCCCTGATAATCAATCAATCAGGGTCTCCAAAGGACTCGACTGTTATCCCGCGAAGTAATTTCCCTGGGGCGGGCAACTCCCCTTAAACTCTTACCTTGCGGGCCCGCAGCCAGGTTGTGCCGACTAGCAACCATCCACTAGGGGTTGCGCCCAGGTGGCACTAAGCTTTACCGTTAACTTTGTATTCCTTTAAATATGTCTCAGAATTAGCACAGGTGGCCAGGCGAGGCGTCACAAACAAACTCACAGGCCATTGCGGGACTACGCAAGGGTCTGAAGGCATTTACCGGCCCTCCTATAATAGGCACGACATCCTTCGCTCAATCACAAACCATCCCTGTCGGATTCACATGGCCGCGGCTCCTGACTTGATCAGAGCCAGCAGTCGCCCATCCTGAGGCATCCCTTGCCCTTTTTAAATGCTTCAAGCAAACATGGTCCCTTCTCGTCAAACTTTATTAATACAAACAATGTTTTCCATACCAGTCAACTTTTTACTCGCCCTTACTTTAGTAAAGGGCGCCTCTCATAAAAGATTTCCCGGTCATCCCCTTATTTTGTACGGGATGACTCCTCTCATGACCTCTTCCAAAACCATGAAGGGGCCTCCATATAATGCAATTCCCACCTAAACCAGAATCATGAAGGGGGTCTTAATCATCAAACAACTCAAACTGAGGGGCCACCCTCTGGGTCCCCTGATTTGGGCAACGATGTTTCGTATGACCAAACATGCAAATTCCTAAATCCATCAATCCCGTAGGGTTCCCACAGTTTTCACAAACAGACTGCACTTCCCTTCCTTATACTCTGCCCTCTCGTCCGCTTGCAGCAGACCGCACGAGTATACCGGAGGGTAGACAACTTTACGATTTACACAATCATGCCCATGAGATATATCCTGTACATCTCTCACACAAAGCTAAACACTCATCGAGATAAATCCACACATGTGAGAGTGATAGTGATCGTCACAAGACAAGTCCCACATGATCTCAACTCATAGTACACTCAGGGAGTAGAATGCCTCCCCCAACAACCGAATACAAGCGCTCCACTCAATACCCTGCCTGTCTGGCAGGACTCATAACCCCACTATACGCTCACCAAATACACTCGGGGACATAGCATCCACCTAACATCCGCAGCACGGCCGGCCCCTGTCCTCCCCTGCTGGGAAACTCATATCCCGAGTGCTGTAAACTCCCAAATCCCGTTCAGAGCAACAATAACTTCTGAACCACAAAACCAAATGTAACTAAATGGTCTCATATATCACACAGTTGAGTCCTACCCCTGGGTCGTAGCCCACGAAAAAACTCAAGAGGAAACAAGTGAACAAAAGTCAAACGCATATGTATAACCGGATAGAAACTCATCCCGCCACTCCTACGCACACATACATCTATGGCCCGCTCAACTGACTCAAGGTATGTACACCCTTAACCCCGCCCTGTGTATGTCGAGGGTCTCTAGTCCTATCAATATATAGACAGACCGATCCCTACTCACACAATTCCTCCTGGTTCTACCTATATAACTGAGCCCTGCCCCCATCTGGAGCTCCGTCTACTACCCTGCCCTGTCTGTCATAGAATTTGTCGTCGACCTCCACAACTCGCCCCCCGGCCTTATCCTCAAGGAGCTCTGGACAGTCCACGGCTCTATGCCCTTTCTCCTTGCACCAAAAACAGGAGGTATCGTGCCATCTGGCAGTCTTCTTCTTTCTCCCCTGCGAACTCGATGCAGAAGGCGTCCCCATGGTCTCAGTAGTCACCTCAAGACACGAGGGCAATCCCACATGGCCTTGAGGTCCAGGCTCCATATAGGTGGCATGCCTTCCAGGTCCTGGCGCCTCCGCGTCTTCATGAAGCTTTCTATGGGAAAGGTGGCATGCCTTCCGTACCATAGTGTGGCTGGCGCGTACTTGGTAGTCATTTTCACTGTAACATTTTCTACGAAGAACGCTGCTCTCAGGAATTTCGGTCACTGGTTAGGCTTCCCTTCCGTCCATTTGGCCAAAAGATTCGTGATGATACTATGTCCCCTTTCCACAGGTGCATTTGCCTGGGGGTGCGCGGCAGTAGTGTAATTCGCTACCACGCCGTATCCCGCAAGCAAAGTCCGCACCTCGTTACAGGTGAATTCTGACCCTCGGTCCATCACAAATTCTTTGACGAATGGTTAACGCAGGTAGTACTCTTCGATGCACCTTGCTAAAACTGGGTCAGTCTTTGTGCGGATAGCCCGACCATCCACAAACCTAGTAACGTTGTCCCGTGCATCGAAGATATAGTTACTTCCATCCTCCCCAAGTGGCATGAACAAGAGGTCCAGGTGTACGACTGCCCCCACTTCCCTTTCGAACCTGGGTGTAGAGGCTCCCCAGGCCTTTGCGCTGACCTCTGTTGGCAAGGCACACATGACTGACAATACTTGATGACCATAGTCAGCATTCCATCCCAATGGTATAGCTCACTTACATTTGGGCACGTGGCACTAACCCCTCTGTGCCCCCCTGCTATACCATCGTGTAAGGCTGCTATGACATCGATTTGCCGGTTCCTCCCACATACGATCCTCTTGGGGTTCCCAACTTGTCGCTTTATAAACAGATGGTCATCTCTTACTACATAAAGATGCCTCATCTTCTGGGCTTTAGCACTAGCGTCCCTATCCCTTATTTCGCACGACAGGAGTAACCCCAATTCCCGATAGATCCCGTCATACTCCTCAACATGGAAGGCCTCCTTGATCTCTCCCTCTTCGAACTCGTCGTCCTGACTCTCAGGAATAAGAAGCTCGACCTCCTCTAAACTTGCGGCGCTCCTCTGGCTAAAGTTCCCCTGCAGGAGCGTGTTGGTGAGCAAGTACATTCCTCCCATCAGTTGCTCATGTTCCTCTATCAGGGTCGGACCTTCCTCTATCGTCCTTACCTCCTCCGCTAGACTATGTGTCCCTGCCAATGCCAACCTCATCATCCAGCCAACATCCCTACTCCCCCACGGATCTTCTTCCTGGAAGGGTTTGAGGACCAACTCCTCCTTCTGCTTGTACCCCCTTGGTGCTAGCCATATAGGATGCGTGACGCAGCTACGCACCCTTAGCGACCATTCATTTATGTGGAGGCGGACGTCCTCTGCCTGGTTCAAGAACCCATCAACTGGTGGGGTATCCTCAATTGATTCTTGATTCGCCCCGTCCCAGTTGATACGGCTCAATCCATCTGCCCTGTTCTTGTCCCCGGGAATCCTCTCCAACTCAAAGTTAAACATTCAAATGTAAGTCAACCACCTTGCGATGGTTGGGTCAGATGGAGTGTAACTTTTCAGGGAACACGCCAGCGCGGTAGGATCCACCCTCAAAATGAGTCGTCCGCCAAAGATATAGTTCCGGAAGGTCCTTAGGCAATGGAGTACCGCCAACGTCTCCTTCGTAAACTGGGAGTAATTCCTTTCAGTCGTATTGAGGGTGCGGCTTTCAAACCTCAGCGGCCTCTCCTTCCCATCAGCCTCCGCCTGAATCAGGACTCCTCCTAAGGCAGTTGGCCCAGCGTCCGTCTCGACAACAAATGGTTTCTCCTCCGTGACCTCGTAGTTCGGCGCTCCCAACACCAAGCCTCCTTCCCTGAACTCTCCCTTCATCCTTTCCACAACCTTCTCCTGGTCCTCGCCCCAGACCCATTCCTGATCCTGACGCACCAGCTTTCTTAAATGCTCCGTCTTGGTGGCGAAATCCTTCACAAAAGTCCTCCAAAACCCGCAGGTCCCAAGGAAGCTCCTCACGTCCGTTATCGACTGGAAGGGGACTGGCCACTCCAGGATCTTGTCCGTCTTCTTCACTTCTGGCCTCCGCCCCTTCTCGTTGCAGACAAAGCCCAGAATCGTGGCCTCCCTCATGCAATGCTTCGACTTGGGGCCACTCGCTGTCAGGTTGTGCTCTTCCAGCAGACCCAGAACCTGGTCGATATCCTGGACGTGCTTCCAGACAAACCGCCTCACTCCTGGCATCAGTTCGTCTTCCTCCTTCTTCTTTGGACCCTTGACCGCCAAATCGTCAATGTAGGGCTGAGTGATATGTGGACTAACCGTCTGCATGGCCCTAATCATGTGCCTTTGCACCATCGCCACCGCATTAGTCCACCCCTGAGGCGCCACGTTCATGTGGATCAGCCCCCTTGGCGTGTGCATCGCCGTCACCGGCCTATCCGGTGGGTACACAGGAAACTGGTCATACCCAGAGTAAAGGTCTATAAGTGAGATTATAGGCCTTCATGCGCATGATTCTGACAGGGCATCCGCGTTCGGCAACCCTCCCGCGTCCCGCACCGTCATTGCATTCAGTCGTTGCAGATCCTGCACCCATCGCAGCGTTCCGTTCAGCTTGATGAAACAAAACCAAGGGGAAGCATACGGTCTACTGGAATAATCTACCACATACGTCCTCATCTTCCCGTCCAAGTAATTCACTACCTTCTTCTCCTCATCCGGATTCGGGTATCGTGCGCCCCTCAGGTTCCACGGCTCATGAGGGACGGTATGGATTCGTATCATTGGGATTTTATCCACGTCCAACCTCCCACGCTCGTCATCATTAAACGCGTACGCGCAATGCCTCATCTTCATGGTTTCCACCATCAAGGTCCGTTCCAATGGTGAAAGGAAGCCAGGCTCGCCGATTATCAGCCCTTCCTCATTCTCATTATTGATGCGGCACGGCCCCGCCTGCGCGTACTTCCGCATACACCTTATCAGCCCCCTCTCCTGCTCATAATAGGCTTCCTCGTCCTCCGTGACAAGCACGGGGATCGGGCGACACTTCTTATCTATAGTCTTGTACCGCCTTTGGGAACCCTGCTTAAGCCCTCTCCTAAAAAAAGTCGACTTGTTGTTCGGGCTTGGGCCATCGCAGGGTCCCCTCTCCTCCCAGGAAGCCGATAGATCAGCTCCACCTCTCCTACCTGAGGGCTTTCCAGAACCTGCTCCCTCAATGCCTTTATAGCCTCAGGGTCCGCCATATCATGCACCGCCACCACCTCCATTGCCTTATTCACATCATTAAGGCTCAAGGATAATACTTCGCCCGCTCCTTCCTCCTCCTGCTCCTCTCGGAGTCTCCGTCGCGCGTACTCAGACTCCTCAAAGGTAAAGGAGCCGAGGTTGAGCCTGTTCCTCCCACTTCAGGGCCCTGTGTTCCGGCACTTGATGATTTCATAGTTCCCACAGGCCGGATCAGATAGGGCCAGGATCATCGTCCCTTCATGTCTGTTGAAGACCAAGGTCTCCATCCGACAGAGGAATGACCTCCCCAAGAGGATAGGGTGGTCGACATTGGGCATGACGAAGAAGCACGTTCGCGCCCTTACCCTCCCGATCTCCACCATCACGTAACACGCGGTGCCACAGAATATGACCTTGCAGTTGGCGCCATGCAGCACGCCACGGTCCGAATGGTCAACCTCCAGCCCTAACATAGTCGCGTCCCGCTCCCGGATGATATTCATCTCCGCGCCCGTGTGCTCGGCTGGTCCCTCACCTTCAAGTCCACCAACCCACACGCCACACACTTCCAATCCATTCTGGTGCCCGCCTCCGTCCACTCTATCTCCCTGGGCAGAATTGAGCTCAGGTGGACGTTGGGCACTAACCTTCGCGAGAGCCGCCCTTTTAGCTCGCCACGGAGCCTTGGTGCCGACGCCAAAATGTCCTTTAAATTCATCAAATCGTTATGGCCCTCCAGGAGCTTGTCCACCATTCGCTCCACGTCAAAGCCTTCCTCTAGCCAGACTGCATACTTTTTCCTCTTCGGTACGCCATCGTGCAAGCTTGGCTCCGCCCCTCCCTGAGCCCCTCTCTTCTTGGCCCTCTGTTCCGCTCTCCGGTCCTCCTCCTGCCGGAGCCTCTCGTCCTCCTCGTCATCGCCCTCATCTTCCTCTTCTTGAACCTCTACCACTTCTTTCCTTCGCTCGGGCTCAGGGTCCTTTCGAGGGGGCGCCCGAGTGGGTGCCTGGCTGGGTCCTTGACTGGCGGTAGCCTTGCTTTGGCCCCTAGTCTGCGTGGCCTGGGGCACCCTTCCATGCGACGTGGGGGGTCTAAAGGTCATCCCTGACTTAGGGCCTGCCCCAACTGTTGCTACACTTGGACATCCTTGTGGCCCTGACGATGACTCCGGGCCGGACCCATAGAGCATTACCTTAGGAAGGTTCAGTTCCCACTCCCGGGCTTCTTCGCACATTACTCTTAACTGGTCCTGGTACCAGCCCACTTTTGCAAGCAGGTCCTCCATCTTTTCTAGGATGGTCAGGGCCGACTCTCTTACCTCCTCCTCCTCGTCGTCGGACTCAACAATTATGGGCTCCTCCTTTATGGTCCCTGCCTTTAGTTGTTGAGTCACTTTCTCGTTCTCGTCCACAATCTCCTCGATCCTCACACCCGAGTCCTCCCTCTCCTGCCATATTCTAAACATTGCTGGAGCTGCTGGTGGTCCTGCCGCTGCTCTCTTAAGGGCCTCTTCCCTAATCCCTCCCGGAGTCCTGGGGTCAATATGCGTCCCCCACCTATCGAATATATCTCCGTCCATGCATGAGGAGATCAACCCCGCCAACTCATCGTTTCGCCGCTGTTGGCAGAACCGTATAGTGTGGCCCATCTCGCCACAATGCCAACACGTTGCATTTCGCCAATCGAAGCGGGGCCTCCCATACCCTTGGCCCCCTCCTTGGCCGCCTTGGCCACCTTGGTTCTAGCCCCCTTGACCATTCCAGCCTCCTCCACGGCCTCCACCATTTCCTCCTCGCCCCCGGCCACCCCCTCCTCTACCCCCTTGGCCCCGGCCCCCATTGCCCTGCCCGCTTTGTCCTTGGCCCCCTCCCCCGGCCACACTAGCTTGCGAGGCCTGCTGGGAGGGCGGCGGTTGAGCCACGGGCTGGCTTTGAGTCGCCGGGTAGCTCGGGGGGCCCATCCTTACTGACGGGCCTGAATAGGGGACCATGTGCCCCGCGTGGGCCTGACTCCCTCCACACGAGACACAGTGGTTGCAACTGGGTCAGGGCGCGGACTGACAGTGCGGCACCCAGTGCCCGCAAGTTAGTGGCGGCCCCATGTGCGATGGTCCTGCTGACGCTGGCGCGGCTGCGGCGACAGGCGACAGTGCGGCAATGGCTTGAGGGGCCTGCCCCTTCCCTGACCCCTGCCCTCCCTGCAGCAAATTACGCTGCTTCCCCTGGGCCATAGTCAGGACCTGGGAGCCTGTCTCCCCTCCGCTGTAGTCTTTTTGCCCAACCTCCTCCTCTATTGCCCCTGACGTCCGGCCTTGGGCCACTGGCACCCCTCTTTTCTGTATCTCCGCTTCATTGTCATACCCCAGTGCTGCCAACACATCCGTAACGATCCTTTTCACACCTGGGGTCCCGGATGCGGTAGCATCCCTCTCCTTCCTCTTGCGCCTTTGCAGCCTCATTTGGTGCTGCTCCACCTGGTCTAGACTCCCTTCTTCCACTCCCTTATCAATGGTTGCCCAGGTGAGCCTCTCGCTCCCTTCTCCATACTTGGTTAGCTCGGTGGCCTCCGAGCCCGTAAGCAGTCCCAGAAATGTGGCGCATTGCGCCTCCTCAGAAATCCCGTGCACTTTTCTCGCCCTTTTCTTAAACTCGTGCACGAACGCCTCAATGGTAAAGAAATATTCCTTGTTCATGGCCTCCAAGTCAGCCATGGTCAACAGGTCGTCCCCCAACCTGTACTTCCTTCGCATTAGATCCCCAAACTTTGTCCAACTGCCACCGGCGGCATCCACAACCTTAGTCACTTCCCGATGGTGGCGGTGCAGGACGTACCTCAGGACCCGCTGGAGATTGACCTCATCTGACAGTCCTACCAGTGCCTGTTCTATCAGATCCAACGAGTCGGATACCTTGTCCCCCTTGAAGTGAAAAGTCTCGACCTTTGGGACATTGCTTGGCGCCCTTTCGCACTTGTCCAGGGCATCGATGAGGTCATCGAGAGTCACGAGCTTCCTCCCACCGTCCGCCTCCCTTCTGGCATCTTGGCCAACCACCTTCGACTTCAATCTTCCTGTTATAAGAGACGATGGGACAGAGGACCTCACTCAGCAACTCAACCTTTCATGACCCTATCGGGTTGGCCACCTTAGACACCCAACATTCTAGACCTGGTAGGCATTCCTTCTCCTACTTCCCTTGGGCTCACCTAGATAACACTTACCCTCACCATAGGACTTCCTCACACAGTTACTCCATTCAAACTATCAACCAAGCCTCCAACCCATAGTCATATAGATCACCTTACATACATCTCATACTCCCTCTTTTACTCACTCATATGCCAAGTTTTCCCTCACTCTCGTACCCGGATGTCGTTCTACCAGGGACAACGGTAGGCTTCCGTTATCCCCGGCAACGGCGCCACCTGTCGCGCGCGTTAGTCCGGCACCGCGCTTGGCAGTGCGGGACCCTCTCGGCCGCGTCACGCAGGAGTTGGACCAACCTCGTCACGAACACGCAGATGGAGCTTCCTTAGGCCGCTCCGGCCGTGTGCGCCAGCCATACCTTTCGCGAGCCCCTACGACAGGATAGAGCCTATGCGAGGCACAACTTACCTCCACCTTACGGGAGTTATCACCTCCCTTTGGTGGGCGTATCCCCGCCGAGCTACCAGTCCACAATACGAAAGCTACTCGGTTGCAATCGCAGAGGTGGACCAGCCGAGGGAGTTTCTCGTTCGCTGTAGCATAGGGGGTACGCGCGGTAATACGCCTACCGGACCCGCACGCGAACCGACTTCTTGGGGGGCTGAAGTCCCAAGCGTGGCTCGACGTCGGTCGACTAGGATGCATCCCACACACCACGCGCACACCACTTTACGAGACAAAAATAAAACACACACACACGCGAGTATAACACGACACAGCACAAACAACGCGACAACGCTCCTAGCCCCTCGATAGCCAACCCACAACTTTCCGACGCGAAAATCGGATAGGAATCGCTCGCGAGACTTAGTATAAAAATCGCGCGGACGCAAGGCTAACTCATATCGACTCACGATGCAAGTGCACGCAAGTGGTCGCAACGATGGCGTACCACATGGTACCCATACTCGTGCGGTCCTCGTTAGTCTCGAGGATCGCGTTCGACACTCAAGTGTCGGCTGACACACGCCTTGAGGGTTAATCTCTCGACGCTGGACAACCGCCATGCGCGGTTGAAGACCACACACCCTCTTCTGCACCCTTATACAGAGTAGGTGGTACACAGGCCTATGCCTATGGTGGTACTCGTCTCTCGTGGCCCTAGGGGTGAGTCCTCCCTGGGGCCTGTGCGAAAGTCAAGGGTTTGACTTTGACGGCTGCCACGGACTACAACGTCCAACCATAAAAATCTCTAAGAAGCAACAAGACGCGCACGAACCCAAGAAGAGGGGACAGGTTAACGGTCTCCTGGCCTCTAAAACAAAACTCATGGCCTTGGGACACGCTTCCCCTCTGTGGGCAGTGCCGGCGGCCTACAATAATCCCAAGCGCTGCGCCTACGCGCAAGCCCGGCAGTCCCATAACTTTTAAACGTCGGGGCGGCGAGGCGTCGTGCGCAGGCCCTGATATAACATTGCGCAGCCGCAGGCCAACCTTATGCTAACCACTGATGCCAATCATATGTGGTAACCGCGGCTTCGGCCTCGCGATATTGAATGGCTGAAGAAACTCATCGCGAGGGGTTACCCCTCACGATATTAAACGACTGAAGGACACGCCGTTCGGCCCTCGTAACATCCCCGCCTTTCAGGTGAAGTGTCACGCCGGCCAAAGTAAATAGGCTTTATGGAAGGGGAGGCTCCTCCTCTTCAGGGCCAAGGGCTTGGGATGTCCTGGACAAGGACCTCGAATCCCGGCCCAGGACCAACGTCCGACTAAGAAAGCCCCAAGACGCAAAATAGGCCAAAGGGGGGGGTCTTCCCTGTCCCTCAATCCCAACTCTCACGCGGTTGTTAACCTGGCCTTCTAGGCCTCCCGAACACTCATCATACGTATATCCACGCACACACACAGGAGGGGGGATAGAGTTATGACGATCACTTCTCACAGACACAGTACGACTCCTCACAACTACGTATATGTATATGAGATCGCAGGCAACCCAAATCCAAATCCGAGCCACAGGACATACCTGCAATCACACCAAGAATCAAGCGACAAAACGCTCACTACACGGAGTCAACCCCAACCATTCTCTATGCTCATACCCCTTCGCTTTAGCCATGCAAGTCTCGACGGTCAGTCCTACCAACCTCAATTAAATACTCTGTACCTTTGTTAAAGGGTCATTCAATAGAAGTCCGGGTGAAACCCTTAACAAACAGTAAAAACCACCAGGGCTAAAGCCTTTTAGGTTGAGTATGGGGAATGAGTTGAAATTGAGTCGAAGACCGACGAATCGGCAACCGACCAGTTATCAGTGATAACAGAAGACGATCCTTCAAGGATCAAGCTGAATCTAGTCCTGAACTTTGAATCAGACACCCCAAAGGCCATGTAACACAACATAGGTCAGATGCCCAAGGTAAATCATCAGCACATGGGGAATGAACCTCCATAGCACATTCTCTCCCCAAGTTATCTGCCAACTAAGTCTAAGTCTAAAATATAATTTAACTCCTTTAAATCAAGGAGATTTTGGCAGCGCTTTCCGCAGGAAAAGTGTCTTTTCAGAGTTTATATCAACCCGAATATGAAAGCAGAATAAGCTCCAACTCAAGAAAGTCAAATTTTGTCTAGCTCTCTGAATCAATAGAAATCTGGAAAGCACTCCCTTTAGAAAGGGAGACTTCCCAGATTTATACTAGATCAGATATGAACTCACAAGGCAACTTGAGTTCAACTTAGACAAGATTTAACTAATTCCTTAGTTTTGCAGAAATTTTGGCATCACTCCCTTTAGAAAAGTGTTATTCCAAAATTTATACAAGGCTAAGTTCAGAATCTGAAGATAACTCTGACTTCTCAAAGTCCAATTTTGTCGAACTCCCTAAATTAGCAAAAATTTAGGCCGCATTCCCTTTAGAAAATGAGACTTTTCAAATTTTTACTAAGTCAGATATAAAGAATAGATAAGTTGAACTTTGACAAGTCAAAAGTTGACTAACTCCTTAGATTTGTAGAAATTTCGGCAATGCTTCCCGTAGAGAAAGTAGCTTGCCAAGATTTATACAAAGCCGAGTAAAACAAAAGATCTCAGAAAATGCAAAAATTGATCGAAGTAAAATAAAGTCAGCTCGGAAAATGCAGCAATTGACCTAACTCCTATCGCTCTAGCACGTGACGAGCCTCTAAAGCAACTACATGTCAACCTGAAACCCAGACCAAGTAGTAACCTCACTCAGCCACAGGCAGGCTAGACCACAAAGGTAAGTACTCTCACCATCCCCAAGCCAATCTGAGCAAACAATAATTCACGACCTTTCAGTGGGTCATCCCCTTATACCCAACTTACATAAGGCATAGGTCAGGGCACCTGAACTTACAGAGCGCACCCACCTTAGCCAGGCCTAAAGTCAGAATACCTAAACTTATAGAGCGTTCTAACTCGGCCAGGTATACACAAACAGAGAGCACGACTACTTCTCTCTTCTTTGGGCGTATGGGTAGGCCGCTCTAGCCGCCCTGACTGTTTAAATAGCCAATTTGTATATACCTCTCTGAGCTTAGTCTTCAAAGGGACATAAGGCTGAGCCGCTCAACTTATAACATTGCTCAACCCGCCCAAGTTTACCTCCAGTTATATCTCTTAGTTATAATCTCTTGAGTTGTGCTACGCTATAGTCAGGCTACCGAAACTTATAGAGCCGCCTGACCAGTCTGTTCGTAATAGCATAGTAATACAATATAGCCAAGTTAGATCCATTAGGTTCCAACATGTACGAGGCATTGAGTCAGACTACCTAAACTTATAGAGCGGTCTGATCCTCAGCCAGGTTCGTTTCTCTCTGACCCAATCTGTGCGAGGCAGTGGGATAGGCTACCTAAACTTATAGAGCGGTCTGTCCCTTGCCAGAATAACTCCCTTAGAACAAAACAAGAGAAGGGTTGAACCACCTAAACTTATAGAGCGGTTCAGAGCTCCTTGTTCAGAACGAAAGAAACTGAGAGAGCCCCAAATAAAACAAGGCAACCCAAGGTACCTAAACTTATAGAGCGCCTTGGGTTCCTGAAAGCCACCCACAATCAAACCCTCACAAGTCAGAGCAGTCAGGACACCTAAACTTATAGAGCGTCCTGACCCTCCAAACAATTCACAGCACCAGGTCTCCCCAAACTTATGGCGACATCCCAACTTCCAGAGCTTCAGGCTACCTAAACTTATAGAGCGGTCTGAGGCTCCTTGCAAACCAAAAATAAACAAAGCGCTAGGCTTCCCCAAACTTAAGAGGACCTCCTTGCCTTAATGACCCAGTTAGACTGCACACAAACTGCCTTCCTCCCAGCCTCCCCCCAGATGCAACCCACTTCGTTCACAATCTGCTTTCAGGCAATCAGCAAAAACTGAGACTGAGATTGCACACACGCTTCTTTACTTCAGTCTAACTTAAGTCCTGACAGTCAAACCAAAACCAAAGTACAGGATCCAGACAATACCCTCAGTCAAACGTAGAGAGATGTACAAGTAGGGGATGTAGCTGGGTTTATAGAGGGAGTCAAGGGATTACCACTCAGTTCCCTGCCTCCAGGACTCCGCCTGAGTCCCGACAGAGCTCCCGCAATCGGTGGGGCAACCTCCCACAAGGCCTTGGCACGGTTTATGGGCCACACACCCGCCTGCCGCCTTCCTCTCAGTGTCAAAGGACCAGACTTAGAGTAAGAAGGGTAGGATGTGAAGGAGTAAGACTCTCAGACTCAGGAAGAAAACACTCAGACTCGCTTGAGAGGGCCTTCAACTCCTCGTACGCCTGAGGGGCCCGCAATGGCGGCCAAGTGACAGCTTGGTTAACAGGGTCAAACTGCCAAGGTGACTTTGCGGCGACCTTCAGCTCACAACACCACCCTCTATTCGTCCAATCCTGACCACCTCCCCGAGCCTTACCTCTTCTTTCTAGCCCAGCAGTGGATATGCAACAATCTGAGCCGACCAACAATGGCAAGCACTACCGCCGTTGCCAATAACTGCAGCAGCACCCAGCCTTACGTGGTGCAGTCAAGCATGGCTCGTCGTGACACTTGCTGGGTATAGCACCAGCCTCAGCAGTCAGGGGTTGGATCACAGATGGTCATATTGTCGACACTCAGCATCCTGGCACGGCTCAGGCACCCAGCCTGCCCATACGCACACCACGCAGGCCAGGAATGCGCTTGCACTACTGCAGTTGGCCCCGGTCTACAGAGTCTGTTAGGAGGA